AAAAAAATTAGATTTTATAATCAAAAAATAAAATTGATATAATTCAATTCAATATAAACAAAATTCTTAAATTCAGCTGGTAACTTTGTTTTCTGTGATAAGTTCTACAAAGTTACGGGTGGAATTTCAAGTGTTAACGTTAAAGCTTCTGGCAATGAGACGAATTAATGACGTCACGTGATAAAAGAAACCAATTGAATTGAACAAACGAGTAATGATATATGATTATGATAAGTCGTTAAGTCATGTGTATACATGTTGGCAAAATTCCAAACTATTGTAGTTTGGGTTCGGGCGCGCCCAAATCCCAAACTCTGGCCAAACTCGTATCTTAAAAACTTTATTAATAATCTTATTTAAACAAATTAAATATAGGGTTTGGGATTTGTCCAACAAGTATAGTCATGTGAAGCAAATATATTTAGTGAAATGTATACCGACTTCAATGTTGCCTTTTTCGTTTGTATTAACGTCTGATACGTATATAGATATCGATATGGTTTACAAGCAATTCTTATTATAGTAAAGTCAGTCGGGCTGAGAGGAAAAAGACTTCTATATCAAGAGAATACTACGTTTGATTGGGTACGTACGTACGTACGTGTTATCGTTGTCTTTGTGGTGAATCAAACTTGGAACTGCCTATGTAAATCATTTAACTGTTTAACCGTTTTAATTCATTAAGATAATTCTGGTCCACGACCAAAATGATTCCGTCCATATGGAACGTTCCAACCCTTACTTTATATCGTTACCGTAAATTTTTTTTTGTAATAGTGATGTTGATCGCGATTATGTTGAAGCTAAGTAATTGGTATCGGTATTGGATTTATATAAAAACTATACGTATGTTACGTTTTCAAAAGTTTTTTTAATATAAAAGTTTCAAAATGACAACTTTACTTAATGCGCAGCAGTCACTTAATATAAATTTTGTGCCCCTTTATTTCTACTTCGGACAATTTTGCAATTCGGACAATATTGATATCACGTTTAGATTATATCATGCATCTTTGCTAGACTATTTTTAGAGCAATAAAAAAATACTGTATATAAATCCCAGACTTATTGGTCTTTTGTAAAATAGATTCTTTGACGGATTAGCGGGTCTCGTCCGTCCATTTTCTTTTTTTTAAAAAAATATGCCTATCGTCAGAATAGGTCCAACATTTTCTTCTCTCCAAAAATACAACGTCAACGATGACCAAAATCCATTTCTCGTCAATTCTGAACATTTCACTGGATATATAACAGTGCGATTACGAAACCATCATTATAAAAACGAAAATATAATAGAAACCAATTCTTATTTTGAGAATCATCGGCGTTTCTTTTCTTTCCAGTTTCAGGGTCGGTTTAAACCAACAAATTTCGATCGATCCGATCATTTATGGACTTTTGATGACTTACTATTTTGCGCTGAAACTGAAAGATCTATAAGTCCACCAATGGGCGCTTCTCTTGTCGTTAAATTTGCTAGATATATAGATCCAGGTTTTACCGCTGATGGCATGTTTCTAGAGAAAAGACCTTGGGCTGGTAGTTGGCTTGTTTGTGGGATGAATGTTATGAAGGTTTGGAAAGCAGATGACGATAAAAATACGTATTACGATGAAAAAATGGACATTTCCAAGAAAGATTTATTACCGGAATTTCCCACAATTTCGTGTGATCATTCTTCTTTATTACCCGTGGATCCTTGGATTTATCATGGTCAAAATCATCTAAGTGAAGATACTAGTCTTATCTTTACTGATAAAAAGGTCAATCTTAATTCCAAAAAGCGTAGAAACTATTTTTTTAATCCTAGCGTTCGTCAATCTCATGTATTTGACCCATCTTTGGTTTACGCGTTTGATTTCTTTAATAACTTTACAAATTTTTCCACAATGAATGCTGATATGTTTATTAAATTTAGTATGGCTAATGTACTTAAAAATCAACCACTTAGATTTGTTTGTAGGGATAAAAAGGGTGATTCCATTTTTTTTGTAATAGAGATCGATTATTCTGATTTGTTTGAAAACTAATACCTTTCAAAAAAAATCAGAGTAATTTGTAATTATTATTATGAAAAATTTAAAAAATATATTATTTTTTTATAAGGTATCTTAAAATACTATTATTTATAAATAATGAAAAATAAAAAATGATTTAAAAGGCCTATCTATCTAAAAATATTTATTCTCATTCTCAATATATATATATACCATAAAACTAATCAATGGTATTATATGAGTGACGCTGAAGGAGAACTTCGAACTGGGAATTTATTTATTATTTGTTAGACTCAGCCGCGATCCAGAATGTCTGAGCGAGTGAATTAGCAAATAATAATAATATACTGTACTTAAATTCCCAGTTTGAGGTTTATGCTTACTTCTGCATTTGAAGCTTTATAACTTGGTACTTTGGCTATCTATTTATAATCAATTTTGTCAAATTTTATAACTCACTTCCCAACATTTGAGCATAATATCACATGATATATAGCATTATTAATTTCTTATAACTGATAATAAATATAGGTCGTGTTTTTTCGTCATTCAGCCTCTACTTTACCATTTACGACGTTGGACTATTTTATGTTACATATCGAAGAGATAAATAATATTTGATTCTTACATGCAATTAAACAATTTTATTATTTTTTCAATTAACTATGATCGATCTGATGTTTCTTATTCTTATTCTCAATAATCTTATTTATGATTACACTGCCTTAATTCTTGGTATTAGATGTCTTTTTAGTGATAATACAATCCAAAAACAGAATTTTTACCCGTGAACTTGATGGGTGTAATCGATATTAGGACGAAAAAAATCGATTTTCACTGTCACAGAAGTCGAATATGATGAAAAGGCAGATCAAGGATTCATAGGGTTTACAAGAGTAATATATTGAGGGACATTTTTCTTTTGGTGGCAAAATACCGATTCCGCCCATGACAAAGAATATATTCATCATCTCTCTATATATATTAGAAAATGATCAATTCATAATATTTAATAAAAAATGGTCAATTTATAATGTTTAATATTGATCTCCTAATTTTAATCAAATTAAAACCTCAATATAGATTTGTAAAGTGATATATATTTCAAATCCACGAATAACACATTAATTAAGAATTGACATTAATTGAAAAATGATGCGTACTGTAAAATCTCGATAATTATTTCAAGATTTTACGGTAACGTAGATGACAAATCTAATGATGGCGTTTCTGGAAACTTTGCCGAGGAATCCTGATTTTGTTCTTCAAATATTTTTTGTTTCGATTTTTCCTTTTTAGAAGATGTGAAATCTGTACTCGAGCAGCCCCTATAGAATTAAAAAAATATATTTCAATACATGTGCTTCCATATGGTAACTTTTAAATGTTTAAATGATTAATATCTACCTGCAACCACACAAAACACATTCGACGATGCGTCCTGCTTCCAGTTTTGACTTTGGTACGCGACAAATACATGTTGTACCAAAATTTGTATCTTTAGGTTGGATGCATCGAAGGCAGCAAAGACGTTCAAATCCAGGCTAATTTATGAAAAAGGAATAAACAATAAGTATCTATATACATCAAAATATTTTGATCCCTATTTTGATAAAGAGCTATATCATACCTTTTTCCATTTTGCGATCAAATTTCCATCTGCATACCCATGTTTTATACAATATTCGTACACCTCTTTCGTTATGGCTTCACGCTTATAGTACAAATCGTAAATGTAACGTGATCTTTGATGATGTAACCGAAAAATGGGCCATAAAGATTCAACACGGCGTTTTCCCTCATGTGGTTCATTCTCAGCTGTAGAATAAGTTTAAGTTCAAACGATCACTAAAATCATGAAAAAAAAGACAAAAACAACTAATAACTTACCATCTTTCATTTTTCGAGCAAACTCAAGCAAGGTTGGTTCGATATCTTCGAACCCTTCTGGAGGTTTTTTGGTCCGCGCGTGTCTAATTTTTGGCATGATTTAAAGAATATACGGTAAAATACGTAAATGTTTTTTTGAGCTTTTTTTTATATTTATGTTAACATTCATGTGATTTTAACCAATCAACTCACGCCATTGTTTTTAATCTCTAATCTCGTGATTTGTTTTTTTTGCATGTTGGATTTTATGATTTAGGGTTTTTTTATGTGACGATAAATTACAACGCCCAAAAATATATATCGATATATCGTTAATAATTCATAAAAAATATATAATTGTTCTAAAATATGCTGCATATTAAACCCTTTTTGTATTTACAACAAACAAGAATAAGGGAGATCATAACCAAAGATCCAAAATATTATGGGACTTTTGTTTTTTCTAATCCTTCGATTAACACCTGAGCGACCACATATTCTCCGTCGTGTGCTACTGAAGCGTGAGTTTTTGAAATGGTCATGTTGTTTCTTATATCCTCATGTGCGTTAATAGTTATGTGAGGTTTTCCTATTTGATAAATATTTTCATTATCACATACGTACGTACATACTAAATTGTCCTAAAATAATATCTCGGACTTTAATTTAGAAATCAAAAATTCGAGAGTAAATCATCCCTAATATTAATAAAAATTATGAAAACCAATGCTAAGTTCAGGGTTTTGACAATAGACAAGCCAATAGACTCAATGGACAGTCTAATGATCGACAAATAAATATACCAGGTGTTTGATAAGTCCCTAGACAGGACCTTTTTTTAATCATTAATCATAATTTCTATTATACTTTATTCAAAATACGTAATAATTAGTAATATCGTTATAATATTTTTATATAATAAAAACTAATACTAGCGGAGATATAAAAAAGGTCCTGTCTAGGGACTAGGGACTTATCAAACACCCGGTATAGTTCAAAGTAATCTGATTGGTTAATTTTAAATCTCATAAACTGGCTAATAGACCATTAGACAGTTATTAGACAGAAGGCAATTAGACAATAAGATTTTTGATTAGACTATGGGTGCTCTCAAGCATCTAATTAGTGGAAAATGAATGTTTCGGTCAAGCAAATTCATTATCACGATGAAAAAAAAAATGGCCAGAGACCTTTTTTTTTTTATTATAGAGTTGTGCTGATTGGCTAAATTTAATATCCACGTTTCGTAACGTGTCTTCGACAAAATTACCGTAAGGTTTTCTTCAATTAATCGTAGTACGATCTCTATAGCTAGTTAATTACAATGAGAGAGATGCTTAAGAGCACCCTATGTTTATTCACATTCCCGGGCGGCATCCATAATTTACGTTAAACCAGTACTGTATTGTATAAAAACAGACCTTGAAGGTAATACCATATGGTATTATTTTTGTATTATCTTTACGATCCCTATAACAATACTGATTTAACGTAAATTATGGATGCTGCCCTGCTAAGATAGACGATTTACTCTTGAAATTTTACTTTCCGAAACAACATTCCGAGGCATTATTTTAAATAATACGAAGGTAGAATTAAAAAAAATCAATAGGATATGAGAAAATATACGAACCTTTTATTTTTTTGATAGAAACATCTTTCCACGTTACAATGTGGTGAGGATATAATGCTTTATATGTAGCTTCTTTCAAAGTCCACCTTTTTGGAAAAGAGAAATTAAAAATAGATCCTTTAATTAGTACCAAAATATTATAATAACCTGACAGCCAAATAAGATACGATGTTATGTTCTATTGTCAAATGATTATCGCGGCTGTTTAGAATTGATAAAAATGTATAATGAAATTCTTTTGCTTCATCGGCAGTTAGTATTCGAGATGTAAATCTTTTAAGAGAAAATGGGGTGCGGGAAAGGAGAGCTTTGAGACGTGGAAGGTGAATAATGTCGATGCCTATTCCTAATATCATTATAGAACTAATTACCAACGTTACTATTTATCGTTATATAATGTATAATGTATCTATATACGTGCGTACGTGATTGTGGGACAGCGAATAACAAAATATTAAATAAAAGAAAGCATCTCTAACATCATTATCAAAAAGCATATAGTTTGTGTAATGACAAATTGAATGTTTCGTACACTATTTTCTAAATCAATTTTTTCCCATTCAATTATTTATCCATGGCCCACATAGAGATATACGAACTTTTTTTATATGTGATGCACAACTGATGTTAACTCTGTGGGTGCAGGATGTCGTTCTTTGTGATGGATCGGTCTTCGTAAAGACCGGTAACGGACCGAGGACCGAATGATTTTCAGTCTTCTGGTTCAAACAATGGTTCTAGCTGATAAAAAAAATGATAGATCATTGCTCATTACGAAATAACCACACAGTTACTTCTGACATCCCTTCTATTTTTTCCACCTTTTCTATTCCTTCCACATATTCTATTTCTTCTACCTAAACCATTTATCTACTCCTTTCATTCAGTATATCGTATCTATTTCTATTACCTTGGATGTTTCGGAAAGTAAAATTTCAAGAGTAAATCGTCTATCTTAGCAGGGCAGCATCCATAATTTACGTTAAATCAGT